TCTTACCGTAAACGGCGACTATACTTGTCGTAAGAGGAGACTTATGGGATCGGGTGGTCAGGCTCGCTGACTTGGTTGATGCATGTCATCGTATCCCAATCACTGGATTGTCTGGATTGACTCGATTGTTTACAGACCGCCGTCATAACAATGCTTGAATATTGCTGAGAGCGGCGTTAAACAACAAACAAACATAATTCATGCGTTACCATGCACGAATTGTCTAAACGAAATCTTTATAAATCTGTAACTCAGTTATTTTTTATACAGAACCTCACACTTCTATGAAGTTGGATAATATATATTGTTTAAACCGTCGACTCAGCAGAATTCAGCAGAAGAACATATATCTTCGAAAAAAACCTAAGACCATAAGCACATGGTGTCGACGTGTACAGCGCGTATTTAAAATTCCGTTTACGCTACCCTAGTTCTAACACACATTGCATTCTAATATAAAAAAAGCACAATTCCAAATGCATTCAGGTACAAGGTGGTATTCGTAAAAAGTGATCCTAATATACTAGCTCATGACGAACAGGATGAGGAAGTTCTACCAACAGCTGGTCAATCCACTGAAAGATTTGGAGATGATTTTGAAATTCTTGCAACATCGATGTCACCTTAACATTCGAAAATGAAAGTCTGCGCTTTGAATCAAACTGAAACTACTAATTACTGAAATAACTCTCACTTTTCTATCTCGTTTTATCTCCTTTGCTGTCTATTCTTATTCGGTTATTGCTCACCATGAAGACACCTCGTTCAGGTATGTGATGAAGACATTATAAAGTAGTTCTTTCTCAAAGGATGTGAAACAATCGTTAAAATAAGAACATGAAATGATATCAAACCATAGGTAATAATAAACATCTGACACGCACACCATACACACAACTTGACATATTATTAATAATATTATTATTATTTAGAAAATACTAAAAAGGGATATGAGTGAATCACCTGAATTCCGAATATGACCAACATCAGCACATTAGGAGATTCATCCACTTTATACAGCACTCTTTGCGTTGTCCGTTTCGTTTCAATTAGCATTTGTGTGACCTGCTTCTGCTTTTTTCCGTCGGATTCCGCACAATCGTAATCGTTACAACCCTCCATAGTAGCGTTTACAACACTACACCTTATCGGGTTGAGACTCTTCTGATGCATAATCATACGTTTATCAAACCTAGATAAGACGCGTTGCTTGGGTTGTAATGTCCTTTTAGCAGGGTACACAAAGCCATACTCGTATCTGCTTTATGACCACGGTTCCAATATGCCACACGTACAGATTCGAGTGACCATTCCTGAACATGTGACAGATACATATGGAATGTGAAACTGAGAGGTGTTCAGTTTAGTTTAAAGATATTTTATTCTCATGAAAAGGATTGGGCACAAGTTATCACAACTTAGATCGCCTTCTCCTATAGATTTCTCATTGAATGAATCCTATAGATTTCTCATTGAATATTATAGTATGATATTGACCGTATATGGTAGCAATTGTAGGTAAGTGTGACACAGTTCACACGGTGCCAGGTGTTTTTTCACATTGGGTGATGGTTTCAGATAAGTAAGTGGCGATTGGGCCTACACGTTACTGTCAAAACCATTGCGGAAAAAAACTTCATTGCTGTTGGCTGTAGTTCATATCTGATCACGACAGCTTGTTACACTTTTACCAGTGGTCCACTGGTTTGCTTCCACTGACAATAACTACAAATGTGTTTAGTTTCTAGCACCAGTAACTTACCAGTTACTTACACACAGCACTTGCACTTGAAAGAGTCAAGTTTGGTAGTAACGGTTGTGATGTTAATGTCGCAGGGTCAGACTCAGCTGCTGTCTGTTTAGCTCCTCAAAGAAACTTCACAACTCCACAACAATATCACTACTGTTTGATTGATTGTTTGTTGTTTAACGTCGCACTCAGCAATATTCCATCTATACGACGGCGGTCTGTAAATATTCGAGTCTGGACCAGACAATCCAGTGATTGATATCATGAGCATCGATCCACGCAATTGGGATACGATAACATGCATCAACGACCACCCGATCCCGTTAGTCGCCTCTTACAACTGGATAAATCAATTTAACATTTGGTGCGAATGTTTGACTTCTCCACAAGTTGGGCATAAGGAAGAACTACCTCCAAGGGTTAGGCTCCAGAGGAAAACCCATTCACATTTATGGCTGCTGTGCGGTGTACTGGAATAGTCGTCTGATGTAGTGTAGCCGCTTGAAATCTGCTGTGGTAGTTCTTAACACTCTCTGTTTGATTCTGGTTAATGGGCAAAACTACAAGGTCGACGCGTTTTGACTGGCTGAACCTCCGTAGGAAGGCCGGCTTAAAAGAGCCAAGTTAGACTCGTTTTACTCTGGAGATCTGTATTATTAGTATTTTGCTGGGACCTTTTGCCAGGAAGCATCACACAAATCTTTTCACTGGACATGTGTTCTTTGTTGGATAACGCTGCACTCAGCAATTTTCGAGGAATATGCTTGCGACCAATTAAGTATTGAGTCTGCACAAGACAGTCAAGTGATTGGTATTATGAACGACAATTGGGTATAATGACATTCAATCAACCAAACCATTGAGCCTGACCTTGATCCGTTAAATCACCTTGTACAACAAACGTACGTTGCAGGGGAAAAATCTAGACAGGACAATGTATGCAAATATATCTACAGATGGAACTTGGCTGAAGTCGTTTGTGTGATATTGAAAAGGCTGATGATGATTATACCGTTGAAGAGGTACCTGTCGTCACTGATGACGTAGTGGACTTGGTTGCGGTTGTGAGTTTGGTCAGACTTTGATAAAGTTCTAGTGAATGTTGTGGGATGGGGATGTTCCTAGGATTGCTGAGCCATTCCCTGAATGTCCATCAGTCGTTGACCTTGGATCCTAATAGACACTCTTTCCAGCTGATGTCAAAGATATAATTTGTTGAAACGAAGCAGAGTGCACGGCTGTCAGATTCAGTGCTACTTAGTTTACACTGCTTTCCCAGGTGGCTGCTGTGAGGAACCATAGCGAGATAAGGAAGGCTTGGCGAGACTACGTTTCAGAGCTCTAAACAGGATACACATGACATGGCAGTTGTATCCCTATCTGAGCGGAGCATCCAAAATATAAGTAAAATTATTTTTGTTGTTGAAAATTTATTCATTAATCTGTCTGCCAATTTCTATTTGGAATTAGCAACAATTTCAATCCTTAAATGGTGTATATTCGTCACACTCCCAACATATTAAGAACTAAACCCAAATGTGTTTTAGGTACTTTCACATTAATTTGCGACAGATACATTTTATGTGTGGAAATAAATTGTCTAACATATTGCAGTGTCTATGCATGATAGTAACATGTTTCGTATTCAGTGGTTCAAATAACTAAATATTGCACAATTACTGTTAATGTGACCTACGCTATGGAGTATCTGCATTATCCAATAGGTTGAAACGCGTAAAGGGTCACATGTATCACAGATAATTCTTAGCAAATACATCCACTGAGGTAATCAGTTGTAGTCTTCTCTTCAACCCAATTTTCACTGAACGATATTTAGGAATGTGTTTGAATACTATTAGACTGCACAAGTCAAATAAATGACTTTTTTTAAAGTAACCAATGTGCAATGTTCACCATGGGAATAAGCACAGTAGAAGATTTATTAAAACTGAGCTTACATATGTTTTTGAAATATTGGATTTTTGTGGCAGACCTTTTCCTTTCAGTTTCAACAGCTTTTATACCTTTTTCAAGCATTTTCAAACAATGAAATTCCAATCTCCCACAGGAATAGCATATGGTTGGTCCCTAATGTCATACAGAAAAGGGGTGATTTTCGCATCCTCTGTTCTTAACATAGTTGCACAAGGCAGAAACATAATGAAGTGAAACAACCACATTCAATGAAATACATACGCGTCCGATATTTAAAATATATATGGTTTTTGTATTCAATTCCCTACACATGTTTATGACATAGTCGGAATCGTACATTATAGAAATGGTTTTCTCCGTTTTATTTATGTAATATTGACGCCTTCTACATTGAAGGTGCTCGTCATGTCTAATTAAAACACCGAACAGCTATCTCATTTTTATCAATTCAAGACACTACATGGTAAAAACAGTAATATGATGTTGTGTCTAAAAAGCTTCAATTTAGTTACACAAAGAGAAGTCTTTTCATTTTATGAACGAAACGGATATCCATTAATAAGTATAGCTATGTCTTGAAAGATTCATAACATTTTATGCTGTGACCGGTACTACATTAGTAACAGAGTAATAAGTATCAAATTTCAAGACATTTTTATGAAATATAGCATCATTTTCAGTGATCCAATCATTTAATTTTCACAAACAAAACAGCGAAGTTTGTTTAATAAAAACAAGTAATATATCAATCTTGCAATATTGTGTGGTATTAATCGTCTGCCGACTTAAAACATTAAGCTTACTTGGTCGCATCGTTTCAACATAACGCAGAATGAGTACATGAGTGACGCCATTCTTGCCCTGGCAATACGGGACAATATGATGACCACAAACAAAGTCATTGGCTGGACATCGAAGCTGACTGTTGCCGATTGCTCATATGTTGCACAATAATTAATTCAGAATCCTGCACTTGGGGGCGTCCTGAAACCTCGTTTTGAGGACAAATCCTGTTGGTCCATGTATAGTAAAAGTGAATACAATTGCAACACCCATATTGTCAAGGACTGCAACGCATACATACATAAAACGAGTGTATCAGTACGTATTATCAAAATTAACCCATTCAATACGGATTTGTAGCATAGTCGTGTGACCTGCCATTTGGCACTGACACCAATACGTTACTTTCTATTAATTTCAGAGGTTTTTGACCTGTACCTAGTTCTTACGTTCTGAATGACATGACTAAAATGTCCCCCTCTACAATCGCTAAACCATTTATAACTGGGAATTATGCTCTTCACAGCTAACAATGTCATCTCAAGATCTTCGGTGTGCTGACAATCTGCTCAAGGTAAAGAAAGACATGGAATCCCTGGCACCCGGGGATGAAGAAATTTGTAACCAAAGCACCCGTTTGACAGGAAAGGTCATATGTGGCGTTGACGAACTTCCGTGTCCATTCCTGTTGCCATTGTTTGGCATTCAGGTAGGTACATCCACACTATTCTCTGTAGACGTTCCACTAGTTCGGGTATTTATCCCGTTACAGATATATGCTTATGCCCTGACGCTTCTAATTGTATGTTATCAAGCGTATATCCGGCGTAGACCAGACTGTGTGTTTTGATCTGCGTTACTGGTAGGACAAGGTCTTATCGATATCATCGTAACATTTGCCAAACCTGTTACCACAAGGGTGAGTAGAAACTAAAAAAATGCTCTAATATCTACACAAATGTTTCCCGGTGCTTGCTATTGGTTTCGATAGTTTCACATGTGGAGACAGGGCACTTTAAAATCAGACAGATACATGTAGGTGTGCATGGGATCTAAGATAGAACTCAATTTCAGTCCGTGTTATCCGTACGACGTTCACTTCAATTATTGTTTAAACACTGGACATTTTGAAAATGTTTTCAATACGTTCATTCTCTAGATAGCTCTTTACTTGATATATTCTTCGAAACAAAAGTTATACACTATGCAAAGAAGGTTTGGGATATATTGTTTTGAGGTGTAACTACAGGAAAATACACCAATGTCTGGCAATGAAAGTAAGTGGTTTATATGGCAAGATATTTCCTCCCAAACTTCGGAGCTACTTCCTGCACCTTCACCAGGTGAATGCTGATGCATTACATGTGTCCACAAACGTATAGCCTTACTCCAGGAATTTGGTTTGAATCAAATAAATTTAACAATATAATAAAGTGATTCTTATGACTGCATACCGAGAGTCCTCGTTGAAGTTTCAGTGTCTTATATGGGTTTTCTTTGGTTTGTGTATGTGCGAAGATTGTTGTTGTTGCTTTTAAGTGTTTAAAAGGTCGCCTTCTGGCTTAGCAATTTCGGCTGACCTGTCCCTCTTTGGAACTCATGTGTGTGAGTAGGGTACACATATCAATTGTGAGTTTTAGTATTCATAACAAGTTCTGTGTCTGTATAAGATTTCTACTTTCGTATATTAATATGATTTCATTTTTTATCTTTGGCTGTTCTGTTAACATACGTTCGATTAGCTGCCCATCTCTCAGAAACAGAGTTAGCTGGGCCTTCGCTATTGCATCTCTTGGCTTTAAGACATCTACGACAGACAGCGGATCTACCTGCAATTGTTGTGTTAAACGAGCCCAGGCTAGGGCATAGTCTTAGCATTCCAGTAACAAGTGAGCAATGGACTAAGGTTTATTGCAAGGTGGGCATACCTTGTCGTAGTGCTTTTTGTGACTGAGACTTAGGCGTGATATGTCTACGTCAACGTTCCTTTCACTTTGGATTTTGGTGGACGGGATCCAACACAGTTCCTCCTGTTGCCCTTGGTCCGATAGTTTTGTATATTTGTAATAGAATATTATTGACTGCGTTTGGCCTGGAGTTTGAGTTTCTGTCGCTGATGGTTTGAAGTGCACTTAGCGAGGCTGATAGGATGATTGCTTTTGCTTCAAGTGGTCCTGATATAACCCTGTCCATTAAAATACCAGTGTTAATATACTAAATATCAAATATCAACGTGTCATCCGAGGCTCATATGACCAACGTTGCTATGTACGAGAGAGAAATTACATCTTGAAAGCTGATATGTTATACCCACGTTTTGCGTCCTACTTCATTTAGTACAACATAAGGTGACACTGTGTCTGGTAATTCAAGAAGTCTAATCCAGTACTAAACCATCCTCAACAAAGAATCAACAAGAATATAATGTCTGGGATAGCAACAGAAGTACAATTATAACTAACACCTAAGACATATTTGCAAAATATTACATGAAATTGTTATATTTCAGACTACTTTTGGAATCCCCATATCTCAGATGCATACAAAATAATTGGTTTTATCTGGACATAAAAGATTTTGAATAGAACAACAGGGTATATATTTTTTCATCCTGTCAACAAGAATGGCAACTGAGGACAGTGCTTTGTTGACTTTAGAAGATTTTGAACTGAGATTGACCAGGAGAACTTATTTGAAAATAACAGTCCTAAATTATTATTATAGGGTGAAATCTTCAACTTTCTACCACCAATAAACCAAACTTTACGTTTCCTAAGTTTTACACCATTTCTAAAAATTAACACTTCAGTCTTCGCAACATTTATAAGCAATCCCAATTTGTGACAGGTCAATTGTCTGTCAGAAAAATAAACACAAATCATCCGCATTTAACAATAAATGCAGTTCCAAGGATTCCGGGCAAATCAAAATACCTCTACCACCGCACTGTTCTATTTCCTTACGCAGTTGATTTACAAATAAAGAAAATAAAAGCGGACATAAAATGCAACCTTGTCGTATTCCGCTCAAGGAATCAAAATAATCAGTAATAGACGACTTAGAGAATTTAACGCTGACAAGATAACAAAGTGTATATTATATAAACGGTCCCTGCTAACCGAAACAAAATACTCATGGAAATCTGCATCTAAGCAATAAAATCGACCCTTGGATTTAAATAAGTACTTCTGTACGATGCTTTGTAAAGTTGGTTGGTTTGTTGGTTAACGCCGCGCTCTGCAATATTCAAGCTATATGACGGCGGTCTGTAAATAATCGGATCTGGACCAGACAATCCAGTGATTAATATCATGAGCATCGATCCTCGCAATGTGGGATCGATGACATGCATCAACTAAGTCAGCGAGCCTGACCACCCGATCCCGTTAGTCGCCTTTTACGACAAGAATAGTCGCGTTTTACGGCAAGCATGGTTTGCTGAAGATCAACAAACAAAACGCCAGGATGGAACTTATATTTCATTCATAAAACAGTAGACATTTTCCGAGATTTAGGCTTCATAAAAACAAAAACGTTCGCCACACGCATCAAATTCGCTTGTATTCTATATTAGCTATGCACACATCTACTGCAGTCTTCAGTGTAAGATCGTACAGTTAACATGAACGTCTTTGGCGAGCACCGTGATTTCCTTTTTTCCCAAAATGGTATGGCTGGGTTGTAAATTCAGTTGATAGATGAACGAAACTGGCTCGCCACACAAATCTATCACGTTACTATGTATCTGCCATTTGATTGCCACATTACTTTATCTCTGCCACATCTCTGCAACATACTGTATAACTGTGAGTGTGAGAGAGTTGGGTTTAACGCCGCTTTTAACAGTATTGCAATTATGTCAGTTTAATGTGTGAGGAAAGTCCGAAGTGTAGCAGGTCTTAGACGTTTACCACTTCGGAGAAACCCACGGGCACTGGTATGGTGCTGAACCCACAATCATAGGTTTCTGGCGTGTCCAAGGGACGCAACTCTGCACAGCAAATCGCGGCGCCTTAGACGACTTGGCCACCCGTGCCCCCGACTGTATAACTATCATGTATGCCGCATTACTATATCTGCTATAATACTTTACACCTGCCACACCAGTATATAGCTTCCACGTCTTTGACACATTACTGTATATACGACGAGCCCAATATGTTTCTGATAACCTTATATGACGCCATGTCATATCAAAATGAAAACTTGACACTTACAACCAGTATAAATGACAGGACCAATACATATGGCTCAGAAACAACTCTTCAATACCACAAACGTTAACAATGGAATATTTTATGGCCAAAATGTTAACGTTTACACAAGGATAATAGCTAAAATGGACAGAATAATCATAAAATGACCCATGGTATCAGAAATATACGGGCCACTGTAACTTGAGAGCAGTCCGCGTTTCCCTAACGACGGGCTGCTTTCTATTCTATTGCTATGTGACGTCACTGGCGTCACGTTTGTGACGTCATCCAGTATTATGTTCTATGACGTTGTTACTTGCAAATCAGTGACCTCCGTTGTGAGCTTTTTATGCCCATGATTTTTATCAATACAATCACCAAGGTGGTTTCGTTAAAAACATGTTTTGGCAACAGTGTCGAATAACGAATTTCTGTACCAGGATTTTCATGTGAGATATGAGAGGTGGATGTTTGTAATTCAAAATGGCTGTTACTGACGGCATACGGCCTCATATTAGGTCAGTAAAAACCATATTGGATTTGTACTGACGGTATACGGGCTCATATGGGGGTTGGTAGTTCTGCTCTCTGATTGGTCAATCTGATTTTGTGGCACAATAGTACCATTATTTTAGTCTATAGTACCATATACCTGTCACATCTCTATCATTTTGCAATATGTCTACATAATCTCTCCCAACTCAGTGTATCTTTGCTATATGGCTTGTGTTATCTTATTCATTCAGATGCTTCACCACACCAACCTAATGGGACAAATGACATGCCTTGGGTAGTGCGTGTGCGAGAGGTAAGATGTTACGTGAATTCACACGACACAATACCAGTTTTCAAGGTTCCTGCATTAATATATTCAATATATACCGGACATTATTATGACCTTTAAGGTGTATCTGTTGTCCTTTGTCACAGGGTTCTTCTCAACAGGAGAACACCGGTTATAATCTATCCAAACTCATACCAAACATGGTGCAGAGTGCAAAACAACAATGTCATGTTTTTTCAGGGCAAACGTTTCAATTCTAGAGTAATTCTTTCTTTTCCTGACCCTCTGGGAAGCGAAGCAGTTTATATGTTATGTATATGAATTCGTTGACATATTTTTTAACAAGGATAAGGACTAAAGAACCAATGCGTTGTTTCACCATATATTGAGCAGACCTTTTGTCCTCATTTCTTTACTTTGAACAGAAAAAAGTAATGTTTCAGCTGAAATATCTGCCCATTCTTCTCTTGTTTTATAACTTGAAACTTACAATATTATTGAATATGAAATTATCCAATCATCCTGTTTTCTTGTAGATTCAGGGTAACCTAATGCTGGCATCTCTGACACAGATTGTGTTAGGGGGGACAGGTGTTGTGGGTTTACTGCTGAGATTCATAGGGCCGCTCACCATCGCTCCAACTACTGCACTGGTCGGTCTGTCTCTCGTCCCGCTAGTGGCCACATTATGCCAAGGCCAGTGGGGCATCAGTACTGGGTAGGGAGATTTAGCATTTTGTTTGAAAATACATAAAAAAACAGGAATTGCAGCAAAATAACAATGTAAGTATAGAACGGAACTGCGTAGAATGAAAGCATGCTCAATATAATCTGAGAAAGACAATAAACCAGACGGATTACTCTATTGTAAGAAATTAAGTTTTGTAGATTTTTTAAATATTTTTGACGAAGATCATAATTCCCTTGACATTTATAGAGAAAATGAAATTCATCTTCCACGTTATTTGAATTACATGTTTTTAGAAAACGACCCTGACGTGGAATACCATCACGTCTTCCAATTCTACGCCGTGTTTCTACATATAACGATTTTAAAACATTTAAGAATAAATACCGACGAATAGTTGGATATATCCGAGAATACAGATTACACGTGGCAATATTTTATCATCGTTTCAAATTCAAACGGAAAGGTCTCTTTACCACCCGTGCTTCCCAGACAAAACCATTTCCATATCTAAACAATATCGTTCTAATATGTTATACCCACGTTTTGCGTCCTACTTCATTTAGTACAACATAAGGTGACACTGTGTCTGGTAATTCAAGAAGTCTAATCCAGTATTAAATCATCCTCAACAAAGAATCAACAAGAATATAATGTCTACCACATTCAGCTGGGATAGCAACAGAAGTACAATTATTACTAACACCTAAGACATATTAGCAAGATATTACATGAAATTGTTTAATTTCAGACCACTTTTTGAATCCCCATATCTCAGATGCATACAAAATAATTGGTTTTATCTGGACATAAAAGATTTTGAATAGAACAACAGGGGATATATTTTCTTCATCCTGTCAACAAGAATGGCAACAGAGGACAGTGCTTTGTTGACTTTATTTAGAAGATTTTGAACTGAGATTGACCAGGAAAACGTATTTGAAAATAACAGTCCTAAATAATTATTATAGGGTGAAATCTTCAACTTTCTACCACCAATAAACCAAATTTAACTTTTCTTAAGTTTTACACCATTTCTAAAAATTAACACTTCAGTCTTTGCAACATTTATAAACAATCCCCATTTGTGACAGGTCAATTTTCTGTCAGAAAATAAACACAAATCATCCGCATTTAACAATAAATGCAGTTCCAAGGATTTCAGGCAAATAAAAATACCTCTACCACCGCACTGTTCTATTTCGTTACGCAGTTGATTTACAAATAAAGAAAATAAAAGCGGACATAAAATGCAACCTTGTCGTACTCCGCTCAAGGAATCAAAATAATCAGTAAAAGACGACTTAGAGAATTTAACGCTGACTTCTGTTTTTGAATTCATATTTTTGATAATTTTAAACATACGATCATGAATGTTACTAGATAACAAAGTATATATTATATAAAAGGTCCCTGCTAACCGAAACAAAATCCTCATGGAAATCTACATCTAAGCAATAAAATCGACCCTTGGATTTAAATAAGTACTTCTGTACGATGCTTTGTAGAGTTGGTTGGTTGGTTGGTTTGTTGGTTAACGCCGCGCTCAGCAATATTCCAGCTATATGACGGCGGTCTGTAAATAATCGGGTCTGGACCAGACAATCCAGTGATTGATATCATGAGCATCGATCCTCGCAATGTGGCATCGATGACATGCATCAACCAAGTCAGCGAGCCTGACCACCCGATCTCGTTAGTCGCCTTTTACGACAAGCATAGTCGCGTTTTACGGCAAGCATGGGTTGCTGAAGATCAACAAACAAACAAACAAAACGTAAGTACGGTACTTACAAGATAATGAATTATGACCATTGTAATATATTTCGTCATTCCTTAATAATCATTTCACATGACCGCCTCCGTGGTCTAGTGGTAGAGCGTCCGCCCGGAGAGCGGAAGGTCCGGGGTTCGATCCCCGACCGCGTCATACCAAAAGACGTTAAAAGATGGTACTTGTTGTTACCCTGTCTGGCGCTCGGCATTAAGGGGCTAAAACAAGGACTGATCGGCTCGGAGTCAGTATACTGTGTCTGAGTGGGGTATTCATGTTAAACTGCAGCGTGGTATCTCAGTGAGCTAGCACTATAAATCGGCATCAGTCCGGACTAGTACAAGCAGCCAAACACACACACACGTGCATGCACGTCGCTATATAAGTGCAATAATCTTGGACGCGACGTTAAACCCCATTTCACCTCACCTCACCTCATTTCACATTTTGTGACCTCATGTATCACAATGATGTTATTTCTCATTGTAACTGACAGCACGATGCTCCTTGTGGTAGCTTTCGCCTTGTTCCTGGGGAAATACCAAGTTCCTGTTCCAGTATATACACGACAGAAACGCTGCAACATCATCCGTTTTCCGCTGTTTCAACTCGCACCAGTGAGTGAATCATTTAGTGTTTTATCATGTTACACGTCATGTTTATGCATCCCGTATTTTAAATAAAATATCTTAGTGTTGCTGTGAAAACATCGAGGCAAGCATTTTGATTTGAATCCTTAACACAAAACTAATGGAAATATATACATGTATAATATATGAGAGCCAATGAACCTCCTTATAGGTTCTGCTCATCATTGTCGTCATGTGGACGCTCTGCTGTGTGCTGACACAAACAGATGTATTTTCTAGCAACAACACAGATCCTGGTTTCCAGGCCAGGACAGATTCAAGACTCCACGTTGTGAAGGACGCCCCGTGGTTTTACTTCCCATATCCAGGTACAAATGTCTTTGATACAAAGTTGCAGATACATTCTTTTTATCGATTAGTAAATGAAAGCTAGGTAATCGAAATGTCAGCTACAAGAATAGAGTGATAAGTTTTTTGCTACCCTTTCACATATATCATTTAATGGATATCAGATATTTTATTTCTGTTACGGATTGTGAAACTGAGACAACTGATTAACTTTTGGTAATCCAAAATATGAACATAGAGATTCAAAATACACGTTACAAAATATACGTGACTTGTTACAAAATATGATAGTGTGCTTCGTAAGACCCTTTGATCTTTGTTGGATGAACATCTCCGATCTGAGAAATATGCCTGGAATTTGTCAGATATGTGGCCCTGGAAACTAGGAACGTATATACTTTGTTCCTCGGTGGCAAGGTTACCGGAACCTCACTCTTGTAATACTGGACGACACAAAGGGCGTGTATTCGGACTGATGTTGAGTTGTTCCCGTTCACTGCGCTATCAACTGACATCGTAATACAACCCTCACTCCTTCGTGTTGCAGGGCACTTGGGTCGGCCCACTATCAGTGCTGCCGGGTATGTTGGGATGTTGGCAGCTACCGTCGCCTCCATCATAGAGTCTGTCGGGGACTACTTTGCTGCTGCCCGTGCCAGCGCGCACCTCCTCCCCCATCGCATGCTGTAAATCGGGGGATTGTTATGGAAGGCCTTGGGAGTCTCATAGCCGGTAGTGTTGGTGATGTGCATGGTATAACATCCTACAGTGAAAAATTTGGAGCTTAGTCATAACCAAGGTGTGTTGAAATCAGTATTTTATAAATATGTTTGTTTGTTGTTTAACGCCGCACAATATTCCAGCTATATGACGGCGATCTGTATATAATCGTGTCTTGACCAGACAATCAAGTGATTAATATCATGAGCATCGATCCACGCAATTGGGATCGATGACATGCATCAGCCAAGTCAGCGAGCCTGACCACCCGATCCCGTTTGTCGCCCCTTACGACAAACATAGTCGCCTTTTACAGCAAGCATGGGTTGCTGAAGACCTATTCTACCCCGGATCTTAACGGCGGTCTGCACATAATATGAGTCTGGACCTGACAATCCAGTCATTGATATCATAAGCATCGATCTATGCAATTTAGATACGACGACATGCATTAACTAAATCAGCGAGTCTGACAACCCGATCCCGTTAGACGCCTCTTACAAGCATAGTCGCCTTTAACGGCAAGCATAAATATGTTTGATTTAACGATATATTTAATGATGGTCGAAACACATTGGACATGGTTAGTACCCATGTAGGAACAATCTCTTTCCCCGCATATGTAACGTGTCATGTAATGATGAGGTATGGCCGTAATGTTCTGAGCCAACATGTAACTGTGATGGACTGTTTTGGTGGAGTTGGTTGCGTATTAGTGTTTAACATAATACCCCCGATGTCCACACACGTCGCTAGAATGCCTGAATTCCACTGGTGTGAAAGGTTTGCTCCTGGTACGAAAAGTCTCAGCAAAAGAGACGTCATCGTCATTTGCATGATACTTGTCACACAGTTTGTCAAGTCTGGGAAGAGGTGGAAATGTGATGAATATTGAAGATGTTCATTAAGTTCCGTAAACCATTGCAGCCATGGGGAAACAGACCTTGGCACATGTGAGATTTTCCACAACGTTAGCCTTGGTATTCTAACGCATTTGAATAAGAAATTTTCATCCTGTTGACCATTATAGGTCTAACCTAACGGGAGGTAGCCCACCAGTAGGATGCCTTTGGAATCGCAGAAGCCTTCACCTTGCCAGCTGATGGAACAGACATTGCCTTCTTCTGCTTCTGAGAAGTTAGACGGTTCCACAACTATGACTAATGTTTAGTGCTAGGTGTCAACTTCCAAATTAAAACAATAAGTTAACCCAGAAATCTGTACGTAAATGCATTCAGTGTGAATCCCAAAACAAGAAAAAATTGGTAAATTAACATTTGTATTATAAAATGATTGTTTTACTAATCAATACAAATTACTGCACAACGATTACGTGGTGGGGAGTGTCCGAGTAACTCTCCATTCCTTAAAAAATAATGGAGCAGAGGCCCCGCAGGGGCCGAGGCCCATTGTTTATAAGGAATTGAGAGCTACGAGGATATTCCCCTACTTGAAACTCATCCTTACTTTTACACTTTGACAAAATATTCTGTTGTGGAAAATATTTGAAAAATAAACCAGAACTCTTTGTAGACTGTATTTGTACTGTGTGAAATATAGAGGAAATATAGAGCCCCGAACAAGGATATATATATTACCTGATTTGTTTTTTCTCGTCAATGTTCATCTAATTGCTATAAATATGAACAGTATTGTAGGTATACAAGCTTTAAGCATTATGTAAAGTTGCATGAAAATAAGTAATAGTTAATTTTACACCATATCTTTATGTGCCGCCGTAGCTGAGGTTGACAATTACACGTCCTGAAATCAAACGGCGAGGGTTCGAACCCCGCTGGCGACACATGTTTTCGAAAAACAATAAAATTATTCACTTGCCAAGAAATGTGAAAATAGGGATTCCGGGACTTTGGAATTATATTTCAAATAGGCTGCAATTTGTGTGCTCATTTGTCCTTATGAACGTAATGAAGCGACAACATGTAAAAAATATATAATGTTACCATAAATTATAATGGCATGCAGCTCCTTTATGAATGTAGGTTAATGTCGAGGCGACTCGGTGGCTTCTCCTGTCACCGAGGTGATCTGAAAGTGATACCTGAAGCTAATATTAAAAGGGAGATTACTCTCACTTTCGTGTAAATGAGGGAGAATACGTTGTGGCAAAAATATAACGCACAGACTGGTTAAACAGAAATAGGAAGTGGAGAAAAACTTCCTCCGACAATGTGAACATATGTAACTAGGACGGGCACGCACGCACGCACGCACGCACGCACGCACGCACGCACACGGACTCTGAAAAAAAGGTATATAATTAAAAACATGAGATCTTATGACATATGTCAAATATGCAGACAAATATTACGTGATAATTAAGTTACATACACACCTATATATTAGGATATAGGTAGGAATAATATATAGATAGATAGACGATTAGAACAGTAAAGTTCTCACTATCAGGCACAATATAGTCCTAATATATATATATATATATATATATGAGGTGAAAAGATTATTGTACTTGCATGTACGTGTGTGTGTTTGTGTGGCTGCTTGTGCTGGTCCAGACTGATGCCGATTTATAGTGCTAGCTCACTGAGATACCATGCCGCAGTTTAACATGAATACCCCACTCAGAAACAGTATACTGACTCCGAGCCGACCAGTCCTTAATGCCGGAATTTGCATGTGAGTTCCTTCAATTTGCACGGAACTCACATGCATCGGGTTACCATAGCCGTTGCCGTGATGCGTGTGGCGATTGGTTTTATTGTCATCTGCTTTGTTTTTTTAATCATCAATAACATTTTGACAAGGTAATGTTAAATTTTGACATAAATTACCCAGATATTTAAATGACAACTTTTCTATCTTATTTAAATCAGATCTAGGTTCTCGCTGCCGTTAAACAAAGATCTGAGGACATCCCATTACGGGTCACGTCAGAGCAACCTTTCGCGAACTTTGACCGACCACTAAAATGACTAGCAAGAAGTCTTTATTATAAATTGCACTAATTGTAATAAAGAAGTTGTTCATCCATAGAACTCGTCTTATTTTCATCGCACCAACTTCTAAATGCCACTGAAAGAAGTAGCAAGAAGTCGACATCAGCCAATTAGAAAGCAGCTTTCTCGGGCTTCACGACACTCGTTTCAACCTGGCGACTTCCATTTCAGACTACGCTTGAAATATATGTTGAGAACCCGAACCCGAACCGTGCACGTGCGATACATGCGGTAAGAACACGTGGTTATCTTTCTTAGTTGAGTTCGAGATGTCGAGCGAGGAAGAAGGCGGAGACCTATTTCTAACTCAAAGTACGTTTGTGGAAACTAAGGATGTCAGTGACGACGCAGATGATTTTCACTTTCGTTTTGCATCTCCATTGTCTGAAGAAGAACTTCAGAAGAAACTGGACGTATGTGTTCCCCAAAAGACCGAATACAAGAACGACTGGGCCGTTGGCGTATTTAGAAGGTGGCGGAAGTAAGCGAGCAGCAGATTTGCGAACAAACTGATAAGTTTAGTTCAATGTATAGGACAGTCCTTTACCAATATTTTATGATTATCACTGTTTCGAATAAAATGAAACGCCCTTAACAAGCGTATAGAAATGGTTAATTTGTACTATAAAAATGTATTTTGATGTAACCATACTTTCTCTAGTGGCTTAATGCTTTATAGATGTTTAGAACATACGGTTGTATACTTTGTTGTAATTAACTAACACAAATATTTTTTAGGGCACCGGAGCAGTGCTGTCCGCATCTACAAACGCACCAGCGACGATCTAAAGTCCAAGGCTTCAGACATTATCGGAAGGAAGATTCCTAAAAAGACAGAGACAGTGTACCTCTGTAGACTCAATGACTGAGGCAAGTCTGGAAGGTCTATCCCAAAATTGGTATCTCTACTTTACATTTAACTTTCATTAAAGGATGTTACTGGCTGTTGTTTTCTGTTGTCTTTGTGCAGAAGTCCGGGTGTGTGCCTTTAAGTAAGACCCTGTGATGAAAAATCAGTTTGTATCGGGAATATATTTTTTTCAGTGGCGAGACCTGGTAAGGAGGTCTTACCTTTTAATAAAGACCCTGGGATGAGGTTTTACTAAATGTACAAAAAACTCATCCCAGGGTTTTGGTAAAAATGTAAAATCTCTTCCCAGGTTTTACCATTGGTAAAAAACACATATTTTCCTAATGGCGATACCCACATAATAGGTTTCTAACCTGGGGCCACACGGGGGAAGAGCTATTAGCGTTACCCAGCACTCACCATGGGGAGGTTGCTCTTCACGAGTGCCTTAAATTAATGTTCAGGAATATATGTGTTTTTATTTTGAATAGTATATTTAATATAGTATATTCAAAATTTCTTTGTAATAAATTCAAACACGTATCAACATACGTTTGCCTTTGGCAAATGCAGTTTCCGAAGTAGACGTTAAAAGGTAGGTGGTCAATACACACTCGAAACGCGTGATTAATATGGGGAAATGTTTTATTGTGTGTAAGTACATCGTCTCGATTTTTATACATGTAGGACTGTTTTTCATCAATTAGGAATAATTACTTCAATTTTTATGTTACAGTTTGTTGTATTGCAAGCAGTGTTATGAATTACTCTCCTTGTAAATGAAATATATTATATATCAACATGTGTTAACGTGTGGATACCGCACTGAACTACAGGTTGGTCCATACACAATGACAGATATTGTGGTGGTTGTAATTCAGTTTGACGCCTTTGTGTCAATATTCAGATCACAACTACAGGGCACTGACAGCAAATATAGTGCCACGGTGATAATACAGTTAAACAATATTCGTATAATTTTCTATTGCTTTTAAGTTCCCTATAATATTATTATAAGTGTTTTCAATGAACGTATCATTTTTGTACCTTTTTTGCATGGATTTTTAAGGGATATTTTATTTCACTTTAAAAAAGCTTAATACATTGCGGTTCGTTTGTCCTCATACACATATGATAATGCA